CCGCGCACTCCGCGGACGGCTGTCGGAATGCAGGCCAGGCGCGACCCGTATGGAAGGGGGTCGTGGGAAGGGGCGAGCGGGAGCGGGAAGGTCCGGCTCAGCCCGGCGGGCGCCAAGGGCCACCCAGGAGGGTCCCGGCGGAGCCCGGCACGCACTTCCGTTCCCGTGAAGGTTGCGTTTGCCCGCTGTGCGTAACTCCAAGGCGGGAGGGTTGGGCGAGGCCGATGAATCACGCAGCTTCGCGCCCGCCGGGGAGTCACGCTGACAGGCACCCTGGCAGAGCCTCGGACGGTTCCGGCCCGGAATCAGCTCCTCGTTCAAAATCCCGGAGAAAGAGACCGGGCCGGTATGGAAGGAGACGCCGAGGAACGGAGGGTCCGGTCCCCGCCTCTCCCCCACCCGCATTCCCCAGGCAAACGCTGCCGGAGGAGATCGCAGCTGCGCGCACGCGGGTTACTTTAACGCTACGTTGACGGATTGATTCCGTTTCTATGCCGCGCATCTCCCCGACAAGGTGACTCTGGGCGGCTTAGAGATGATGAAACCAAGTGGGGAAAAATGACATTACAATAATACTAATAACGCCATTAATGGTAGTAGGATTAATAACATTATAATAACACTAACACCCAGGAACGGAGCAGGGGGTTACTAGGCTTGAGATCAATATTGATAGAATTACAGAGTGTCAGAGTTTCTAGGCTCTGGGAGGTCATCTAGTCCACCCTCTCCGGAGCGCAGCAGGCTCCCTGACAGATGCTCCCCCCTCCTCTTCAAACGCACCAATAAAGGGGAGCTCACTGCTTCTCTAGGGTGTCCAGCCAGAGTCAAACCGCTGTTGCTTAATGTCCGTGCTTATCGCTGAAACGTTTGTTTTGTTGTTCTGTCTTGGGAACAATCCTGTCTTCCCCCATGACAAGCCACTCCGATGCTTGAAGAGATAGAAGATCTTCCCTTGCCTTGCCTCTTCTCTCTCCTCTCTCTTCTCTCCTTTCCCCTCTCTCTTCCTTTCCCCTTCCTAATCCACTCCCTTCTTTCCCTTCCTTTCTCCACTTCCCTTCCCTTCTGCCTCCAAACATTTCCTCCTTTGGATGCTGACCAGCTCCTACCCTCCCGGTAGCCAAAGTCCTTCCTCAAATTCAGGCCACAGAACTGAACAGCCCAAAAGAGAGGAAGGGAACCGTGGCTTCTTCCCAGCCAGAGCCTGTGCTTCTCTAGGGGTTTGGTCAGACTGAGTCACACTGGTGGCTTCTTTTCGGTTTATAATCCAGAAATGACGCCCCCACCTCCCCCCCGCAATGCTCCTCAGAAGGCGCTCCCACCCACCCCTCACCCCCCATCCTGTTTGTGACATCCGTGTTGTCTTTTTCCCCTATTCCACCATGGACTTTGCTTCTTCTGCCTCTTTTGAAACCTCTTTTGGGTTGCTGGTTTTACCCGATAGCCATCTTTCCATTCAGCCTCCCTGCGAAGACGGGCTGTGCTTGCTTTGTGACGCGTTTTGGGAGAATTTCAGCAGGGTTAAATTGTTCCTTGGAATTCCTTGCGTCAAAGCGCCTCCCTTGATTTGCTCTGGATAGCAGGCCTTGGTTTGGTTTAAAAGAATTGGCCATGAAGGGCATTATACCAACCAGAGCCAGATCTGACCAGGTCACCCATTGCATTCAGATTTATCAGATTAACACAGTGGGAAGGGACCTTATAGGTCATCTAGTCCAGTGATCCCCAACCTTTTTTATGCCGCGGCCCGGTACCGGCATCAGCTGGGTGCCGCCATCTTTTTTTGATGAAAACGTGCTTCCGGTGAGCTTTCTACCCGGAAAAGCTCACCAGAAGCACTTTTTAATCAAAAAAAGATGGTGGCGCCCAGCAAGCCAGCGGCCCGGTAGGACTTGTTCCACGGACTGGTACCGGTCCGGGGACTGGTGGTTGGGGACCCCTGATCTAGTCCAACCCCCTGCCCAAACGGGAGACCCTACACTGTTTCGGGTGGTCCAGGAAGAGGCTGAGCTGAGCTGACTTAGAAAACCACTTTGAGTTCTGACGTCTCTTTCTGTGCGCGAACTAAACCACCCAGTCAGTTCAGATTAAACATTTGGATTGGAGATTTTGATCCCAGTTTAGAAGACTGGTTCAGTCTTGTCTTAGGCATGAAATCCGGCTGAATGACTCAATCGTCACAAATATGAATCACTTGCTGAGGGTCTGAATTTTGATCATGTTATCATGGGGATGTTGCAATGGTCATAAGTGTGAAAAATAGTCATAAGTCATTTTTTTTCCAGTGATGATGTACAGGTATTAGGGGAGTTATCCTGGAGAATTGGAACTTTAACAGGCTGGGGAATTCTGGGAGTTGAAGTCCACAAGGCTTAAAGTTGCCCAGGTTGGAGACCCCTGGTTTAGAGGGCTGCTCTATCCCCCACCCCCCACCCCACACCTAGAGCACCTACCACTGAGCCAAGGTTCAAAGTTTCCAAATCTCCTCTCTTGCCAGTCGAGGGGAGCTGCAGCATCTTCCCCAACGATTCCCAACGATGTGGGGAGCCAAAAGACCGTTTTTTCTACAACATCACCTCCAAGAGCTGCGAGCCTTTCGTTTACCATGGGTGCCCTGGGAATCGCAATCGCTACCACACCATTGAGGAATGCAAGCGCTACTGCGGACGCATTGGTGAGTCCGGCTGTTGGGCAGGGAGGGGTCTTTGGGAGGGGTCTGCTGAGCCCCTGAGGTGTTCTGACTAAGGGTTATTGAGACACTAACAAACACACTTTAGTCCCAAAGCCCTTTTTTCTTTATTGCAATGGCTGGGAATTTTAGTCATTCATAGCCCGTAATGAGTCCCAAAATAGTTTGTAAAGAGTCCCGTGAAAGTCTGCCAAAGTCCTTCAGGATAAGGCTGATCAGCACCTACCTTTATCTCCCTTGAAATGCTGCCAACAACTCAATTTCCAATTAGTTATATGAGGCCAAACGGAGCACAAATTCAACATGGAGCTTGCCAGGAACACATTCATTGCTTCGAGGCGGCAAACAAAGAACGCGAAGACACCGTTCGGGAAGGCAGAAACTCCCTCCAGGCCGCGATCCTCAATGCGCTTCAAAAGGAACAAGGGGCAAGGGAGAAGTCCACACCTGACAGAGGTCTTCCATCACAAGCAGCTTTTTCCCACCATTCTAAGAAAGCCTCCTCCCTCCCAAACCGGCTAGTTCTCAAGTGGGTTCTAGTGTCTCATGCCAATTCTCTGCTGCCAGCTCTCACCATCCTTCCAGGACATCCTCCCATCGTAGCAGCGCATCTAAGGCCTCCAAAGCTGCAAGTTATGCTGACCAGGTGGCAGAAGCTGAAGTAGAAGCTGCTGTAGCAGATGCAGATCTACGCGCCACAGAGGAAGTAGCATGGCAGAAGGCTGCAGTAGTGGCTCTACAATCAGAAATGGCCAAAGTTCAGGCCCAATTGGAGTTGGCCGAACGGCAAAGAGACGTCACAACAAAGATGTCACAGGCCGCAGCATGGCAGAAGATGGCTGACGTCACCTCCCTCCAATTCAACCTCGAAGAGTTGGGAGAAGAGAGCCCAGATACACAGGTCAAAGCCTACGTGGATGAGCAGCACTCGCTACAAAACAAGCAGGTGGAACCGCCTCCGTTGCCTAGCAGTCTCCCACAACCAGAGAAGCACAGGGATGAATCTCAACCACAGACTCTACACGTCAGTTACGCAACTGACGTTGTACGACCTAAAGTACAAGATTCACTTCCCACCAACAGCAAACCTTCCTCAACTGATGTTGTACGTACTAAGGTCCAAGACCCTCTTCCCAGCACCAGCAACCCTACTCCAATGTCTCATGGCCTGCCAGGTGAGCAAATTAGCCCACCAGTGATCCCAACGACTTCTCGACAAGTAGACATGCCACCGACGACACCTGCCATGCTCAATCCACATTCCAGCCACAACCTCCACACTACCCGAGCTCACAGACACAACAAGATAACTGCGGCCAGCCTACACAGCAGCGTGAAGCTCCACCATCGCCTCTGGAATGGCAGAACGACATCCTCTGTAAGCACTGGGAGGAAGGCTACAACCCATCGTTGACATACAACTCGAACCTACCCTACGAGAATCCAAGGGAAGACCCCTCTATGTCAACGCCTCAACCCAACTCTACAAACGATGCAGACTACTGGAGAGAGTTGGCAGTAAGCAGAGGAAAGCTAGATTTGGCTGCTAACGGTGTATACAAATTCACAGATGAGCTAGGCGGCGAATATCTCCTATGGAAGAAAGTTTTCCTGTGCCCCATTCAGGCTGCATGCCTGGAATCTGATGAAGTACTCGTACACTTGGTGGCCTGGCTAGGACCGCAGTCTGTCAGAGACACAAAGGCACTTTATGCCTCCCACTTAGATGACCCAGACACTGCCCTACGGTTGTCATGGCAAAGACTCAACACTCCATACGGCGCTGCCTCAGATGTACAATCAACGCTCCTGGATAGCCTCCACAGATTTCCTAAAATTCCTATTGGCAAGCCTCACCTGATTGCGGAGGTTTCTAATATACTCATACAACTGAAAGTGGCACAATGGGATCCCGAGTTACTGGGACTTGCTTGTCTTGACCAAGACGACATGCAAAACAAGATCCTTCAAAATCTTCAAGTTCAGCCTCTTGGTGCAAATCTGCTGGTCACCTCTGGCGTCCTTTTAGGGTTGACAGGTACTCTTGGTGCCAATGGTCGCTTCTGGCGGCCTTTTAGGGTTGGAACGGTGCTCTTGCTTCCACAGTGTCAAAGGGCATCGGGAAGCTATTGGAAAGGGTGTTGCGGAGGCATATGCCCGTGTAAAGCATTTTAGTGGACGTCTGGTGGTTGCTGGCAGCTGTTTAGGGTGGAACGGCATTCTTGTTTTCGATGGTGCTAAAGGGCATCAGAAGGCTGTTGGAATGGACGGTGCTAAGGCATTTGCCTGGGTTGGAGCCTGCATCCGATCGACACTGACAATTCCTGAGATTCCCCAACCTAGGTCTGTCTTGAAGGCAAAGGGTGAGTATCTCAGGCCTCTGACTACTTCAGTGTGCGCTAAGGCGCCAGGGACATCGAATCCCAGCAAGAGCACAATCTTGGCTTCAGGATCAAGGGTGGGAAACAGAAGAGCCATATGCTTCAGGTGAGGTAAGCTGCTAGCTACCTCTCGTGTTGCAATGCGGCTGCGGTCATCTGGTATCCCGTTCCATTCCAGCACGGGTGGCAGTAGAAACTGGGAACTTCCATCTAATGACTCTATACAGAGTCCAGTAGCTTCTCTCCCTGCCGTGCGTCTCGGTGTGGTGCACGTCGATATCGTGAGGGAGATTGCATTTTGTCTGCGTTTGAGAAGGAGTTGGAATGCAGAGACAAATGAAACGCTTGGCCCCTCCCCTGCTTGCAGATGAGCTCCTTTTTAGATAACAGCGATGTAACATGAGACAGAGCATGTCTTTCGCTGAAGAGAGAAGGGGGAAGAATTTACTCCTTCCTGCCTTGATATGAAAACAAAGGAATTCAGCATAAATAAAGGAAGAGAGAGAAAAAAGAATCGATGGAGACAAAATTTGATTGCCTTTGAGAGCCAGAGCATAGAATATTTGAAAAGACTCTTTCGTAAAAGGGGAAGGGGGGGAATCTTGCCCCTCCCTGCAGTTCAAACTGAGGCACAGAGCTTAGCATTCTACATTCACTTCTGGCTTCAACATTACTTTGCTTTATCACAAATCCAAATTAACTGTCTTTATACTGATGGGCTTCAGGACTTCAAATTAACCATCTTTTTACTGTTCTGTATTCTGTACAGTGGTAGATTTGTCTTCTGTACAGATGCAGATAGATAAACTCAACAAAACGTCCATAACAAAGTACATTTATTGGTTCATCAGGTATCCTCATAACTCACATTTGTGATGAAGTTCTTCTTTAATGACCAATCCTTTGCATATCTGTCTTGTAGGTAAAAAGATGGTTATCTTCTATCCTTTTTCTCTCATCTCGTAGTGATAGAAGTAGAACAGTTACCATGAATCCCTGAATTCAGCCAAGAGTGAGGAAAACTCCCCCAACCCATTGAGGGTCAATTTAGTGACCAATTAGGATTACAGATATGGTCACGTGACATGGACTACATTTCCCAGGATACCTTAACTACATTTACCATGATGCATTCCTCTAAGGGGACAGCTCACAATTGCTACATAACTATCCAATTCCCATACACTGGCTGGACAGCACAGAGCTTCAGGTTTCAAACTGACCAGTATGAACAAAGTTGCTTCCTGCAGAGGCTCCTGTCCCTTTGCTCCTCCTTTGTCTTATGGGAGGGCCAATCACCTCCAAGCCTTTTGTCTTAACTGTTCTTGCCTTTTGGCAGCTCTGTGCACATGCTCACTGGGAACAGGCTCCCCTTGTTCCTCTGCCCCACTGCTGCCAGATTCTGGAGGCTCCAGAGTCAGCACATAACTCCTCCCCAGACTCCCGGATTGGCCCATGTTCCTCCCCACTGTCCAACTCTGCTGCCATCTCCTCAGGCTGCCAGTGACCACAACATTCAGCATCTGTTCTTCTAAACTTTGGTGGGGGGGCTGCCCCTGTTCTCCTTTGGTGCATCTCAGAGGGGAGTATGGGGTGGGGGAAGGCTCCCCTCTTTCCCGCACCTCCTCTGCCCCCCAACACCCACTGTTTCTGAAGGGGTTGTGGGGCTTCCCCCCCGCTGTGTGGGGCTTCCCAGAGCCCATTGGTTGATTCTGTTTTGCAGAGAAGCCCGGCTTCTGCCCGCCGAGCCCTCGCGGTGTTTCAGGGCCATGCCTGACAAGCTGTTTGCATGACGGTAGCTGCCCAGAGATGGACAAGTGCTGCTCCTATGGCTGTGCCTTGTACTGCATGAAGCCCGTCACAGGTGAGACCCACAGCCAGATGCTCTCGGTGGGGAGGGGGAATGCGGGCCATCAGCAATTCTGGGCAGGCCACGCAGGCCACCAGGACCCTCCTGGTGGAGCTGGCAAGCCAATGGCGGAGCTCCCAGCACACCTGGAGATGCTGGGCATGGTTGAGGGCACCGGGGCCCACCAGATGTTTGGGGATGCAAGCCCAGTCAGGCCTCGTCTAAGCACCAAAGATTCCATGCCGTCATGTCACCCTCACTGGTACTCGGCCTCTTCTAAGGATTCAAAGGGATTTGCAGTCTGCCCTGGGCCCAGGCACCAGCCTGTCTGATTCCTTCCTTCCAGGGGTGGGATTGAAATTTTTTAACAACCGGTTCTGTGGGCATGGCTTAGGCAATGGACATGGCTTGGTGGTCATGTAACTGGGTGGGCATGGCTTAGGCAATGGGCATGGCTTGATGGTCATGTTATTGGCTGGGCGCGGCCAACTCAACATCACTCACATAGAGGCACGCATCTCCTCGCCTGGCTTCTCATGACTGTTGGGGATGCTGCAACAGTCGTAAGTGTGAAAAATGGTCATAAGTCACTTTTTTCAGTGCCATTGCAACTTTGAATGGTCACTCCACAAAAGCAAAGTACCAGCAAAGGAGGGGACAAAAAACTCCAAAGACGTTCCAGAGACAGGAAGTCTAGTCCTGCCAAGAATGTAATAAGGGTTAACAGAGAGGCAGTTTCTGTAAGCAACACCAGAATGTTTCCTTCCTGCCTTCCTTACAGGATTAGCCCTGTAATTTCTTCTAACAATCGGTTCTCCGAACTGCTTAGAATGTTAACAACTGGTTCTAGCGAATAGGTGCGAACCTGTAGAATCCCACTCCTGCTTCCTTCCTTCCCTCCTTCCTTCCGCCCTCCCCCTTCCATATCTTCCTTCCTTCCCTCTCTGTTTCTCTCTCTCTCTCTCTTTCTTTCTTTCCTTCCTCCCTCCCTCCCTCCCTCCCTCCCTCCAAAACATCCATATAGCTGCCCACCTCAGGCCGACCTCTATCCCCTTCCTCCCTCCCTGCAGACCTCTGCCAGTTGCCTTCTGAACACGGGCCTTGCGATTTAAAAGTGAAACGCTGGTTTTATGACCCGAAGACCCAAAGGTGCAAGAAATTCATCTATGGGGGCTGCGCCGGGAATGCCAACAACTTCAAGAGACGTTTGGGGTGCCGCTTGAGATGCCGCAAGAGAGGTGAGTGTCGGGGTGGGACACAAATATTTTTACTACCGGTACTGTGGGCGTGGCTAGATGGACGTGGCCATGTGACTGCGTAGGCATGGCTTCTTTTTTCAGTACGCCCCCACGCTCTGTTGCTGTTTTGCTTCCTGGGCCTCAGGGAAGCCTCCTGGGTGAAGCAGTAAGACAGCGAGGGGGATCCTGGCACAGCTGATCATTGGAACAGCTGATCGTCAGGAGGAAAAAAAACACCGGTTTGGCTGAACCAGGAGCTGTTTTGTTACTACTGGTTCAGCCGAACAGTAACGTTTTTTACTACTGGTTTGCCTGAACCGGGCCAAACCGGTAGAATACCACCACTGGTGAGTGTGCAATGCTGGGGGGGAGGGAGGCCTGAAAGGTGCGAGGCCATATGGGAAGGAGCAGAATTCCCACCTTGAATGCAAAGGAGAGGAAGGGGGAAATGAGAGGTCCCCCTCCCACTGGCAGCCCTGCAGAAGGGGCCCCTCTCTTTGCACCCCCTCCCTGAGATTCTGCTGCGAGATCCATCCGTCTGGCCAAGAGGAGAAGGAGGAGCCAGGATCTCTTGGCAAGGCTGTCTATCCTCTGGGACAGCATATCCCCTGCTCCACCCTCCCCGGCCCTTCAGCCTGCCCCAAGAGAGAGGGTGTTAAATATGCATGACGCCACATGTACATGAGCCTACGTTACATGCAAAGTGGAGTCTGACTTATTGGTTCAGCTGATGGTGGGAAGATTGGGTCCCTGTCAGTGGCTGAAGTGTTGGACAGCGCCAGCTATAAAAAGCCAGCGCTGGCCACGTTTGTGTGCTTTTTGAATCCGGTTTGTAAATAAGAGTTTCTAGCATTCCTGAGTCCTCTTCCTTCCTGATCTGTGCCCATTTAACAGAGGGTCCGCTTCCCCCAGGGAGGGGGGGCTGGGGGACACCCCAAGGGAGGCGCCTAGACTGGGCGGAGTGTCACAAAGGCCGAGGCTGGAGCAGAGCAGCCCCTCAGAGCAGGGGAGGGGGGGTCTCTCTGGTTCTCGGCCTGGCAAAAAGGGGGGGGTCTCTCCAATGCCTCTGCCCCCCCCTGCAGCCCCCCAAGGAAGACCCTTCCTGAGGCCTCCTTCCCTTTTGCAGGAACTCCCTGAGGGCTCCGTGGACGGAAGCTCGGCCTGCTTTGTGCTGAACGGAGAGAGAGGCCGGTTCCGGAGGAGACCAGGCGCAGAAAGCCTCCAGGCGCCTTCAAGAGGGAGGGGGACATTCTGGAATAAATCCTTGCCCGAAGGAGACGGTGGTCTCAGGTGCTCTGTGTGTCTCTTTTCCTGGCAAGGGGAAGGGGGCACAGGCTGCCCCCCATTCACTATTAAACACAGAATTTGCCAAATCGGCCCGTTTATGCTGGTTTTTATTTATTTGTTCATTTGTTTGTCAAATGTGAACAAGATAACAAGTATGAACACAAACAAGAACAAAGGAAGTAAATACAGATAAATTGGGAGAGTAAGACAGGGACGGTAGGCATGCTGGTGCACTCATGCACGCCCCCTTTAAGGACCTCTTAGGAATGGGGTGAGGTCCACGGTAGGGAGTTTGAGGTTGAAGCTGTGAGGGGTTGAGGGGCTGTAACCATGGAGTCAGGTAGGGCATTCCAGGCATTGACCACTCCGTTGCTGAAGTCGTATTTTCTGCAATAGAGTTTGGAGCAGTTTACTTTGAGTTTGTATCTATTGTTTGCCCGTGTGTAATTGCGGTTGAAGCTGAAGTAGTCGTTTACAGGTAGGATGTTGTAGCAGACAATTTTGTGTACTAAGCTTAGATCAGACTGTAGGTGGCGTAGTTCTACATTGTCCAGGTCCAAAATTTCAAGTCTGGTGGCATAAGGTATTTTATTGCAAGCGGAGGAGTGGAGTCCTCTTCTCGTGAAATACCTCTGGACTCATTCGATTGTATTCATGTCCAATATACAGTGTGGATTCCAGGCAGATGAGCTGTATTCGAGAATTGGTCTGGTGAAGGTTTTGTATGCCCTGGTGTGCAGTTCAATGTTACTGGAGAAGAAGCTTCATAAAATTAGGCTAACAATTCTTAATGCCTTTTTGGCAATGCTGTTACTGTGAGTTCTGGGGCTTAGATCATTCGAGATAAGTACTCCTAGGTCCTTGACAGAGTGAGGGTCATTTATGACAGAGGTCACCAACTGGTGGGCCAGGGACCACTGGTGGTCTGCAAGAAAATGTTGGGGGTCTGCAGATAAGTGTCCCCCCCCCAAAGCAATTAATCCAGGCTGTGCGGGGACATAAGGCTGTACTGCTTGTTGCATGTTGCACCCCCTACAGCAGAGATTTCCAATGCCACCATGGGCTGGTCCCGTATTCCAGAGTTACAATAGTCACAAGACTGACCATCTTGGTCATCCCAGAGTAGCTCATCCATGGCAGGCCAGTGGACAGGCCAGTCCTGTGACTACTGTAGCTCTGGAATATGAGACAGACTTTCCCACCAATGTCAGCAAGCCACCGTAGGTCAAAATTCATATTAGTGGTCCGCGGAGTTTAAAATTATGAGTTTGATGGTCCCTGAGGTCCAAAAGGTTGGCGACTCCTGCTCCATGAGATCATTTCTGCCCAACTTGTATTTGGTGTTCTGATTTTTATTGCCAATGTGTAGGACAGAGCATTTATTAGTTGAGATTTGGAGTTGCCAATTGCACAACCATTCTGACACATAGTCAAGGTCGCTTTGTAAGGCAGCAGCATTGTCAGTGGTGTTAAATAGTTTTACATCATTGGCAAAGAGGACGCAGCTGCTTTTAATGTTGTCACATAGGTCATTGATGTAAAGCAGAAAGAGTGTGGTTCCGAAGACACTGCCTTGGGGGAGACTGCTATTAACTGGTGCTGGATTTGATAGGGCCTTCCCTGTTTTGACCATTTGTTGCCTGTTTGACAGGAACGTGGCTATCCACTTGTGCAGGGACCCGGAGATGCCATAAGAACTAAGTTTCAGCAGTAGTTTGTCGTGCACCACTGAATCAAAGGCTTTGCAGAAGTCAATGTAAATTGTGTCTATTGCTTTACCCTGGTCAATATGTATGGTCCAAATGTTTCTGCAATGTAGGAGTTGCAGATTACAGGACAACATTTTCCTGAAACCAAACTGCTTGTTAGAAAGCAAGTTGTTTGTCTCTAAGTGGAGGGTGATGGACGGGTTTATAATTAATTCCATGACTTTACAGGTGACGCAACAGAGTGAAATTGGTCTGTAATTTTCTAGTAGGCTGGGGTCCCCCTTTTTAAAGATAGGTATGACCGTGGCTAATGACCATAAGTTGGGCAGGGAGTTGGTTCTGAAAGATACCTCATAGATTGTGCATAGAGGTTCACCTAGGGCAATGGCAAGATTTTTCAAGAAGTAGGCACATAATCCATCAGGGCCAATAGGTAGAGATGGCTTTAGGTTACGTAGTGCTGTTTCAACGTTATCTACTGTAAAATCAATATGTAGTAAGTTGTTACAATTTGCTGTGGTGAAACTAGGAAATGGGGGGAAGCAGCCATTGCTGTCAACAAAGACTGAACTGAAGAACGTATTAAAGAGGTTGGCCTTTCGAGTTCCATTGTTACCGTCTTCCCCGTTAGGCCCTTTTAGGGATGGGATGGATTTCGAGTCTTTAAGTTTGGCATTAACGAAATTATAGAAGGCTCAGGAGGAGTTCAAGTTCTTCCGGGGGCCGTCCTGCAGGGGGTGCTTGCTTGGGGTCTCCCTCTGGGGCCACATCCCCATCCCAATCCATTTTTCGTTTGTTCTGGGGCCTTCAAGTCAGTCTCACTCCTGGCCCACCCCCTGCGGTTTGCTTGGCCAGGTTCCTCGGAGGGGTTTTCCCATTGCCTCTTTCCTGGGGCTGGGAGAGAGTGGCCGGCCCAGGCTGGCTTGGTGACCACGGCAGGACTGGAACTCACAGTCTCCTGCTTTCCCGCCTGGTGCTTTCACTGGGAGGCCTAAATGGCTCCAGCTTGTTCGGTGGGTTCCGCATAATCCGCTCACAACCCGCCTCCCAATGCAGCCCAAACCTCCTCCTGGGCCTGCAGGGGGTGCTGGGTCAGCCAGCTGAAGAGGACAGCGGTCAGCAGGATGGGGCCTCCATGGGACTTGAACTGGTCACTCCTCTCCCTCTAGGAGATGCCCCCAACACACCCACAAGGAGAAGCCCCTCCCTCTGCACATGTCCACCCCCAGGATTCCAAGCCAAAAGGAAGGAACTCGATTAGAGATTAAAATTAAGAAAACCTTTATGGTCATTTTTTACTGTCAGCACTCTGGCCACATTCAAAATGAAATTCTGTTGCCTGCTATCAAAGAAAAGTATATCTCTAGCCATCCTCATACATAACACACACACACACACACACACACACATGCCATATACATACATAGAGACACAGAGATATTGAAGAATATATACACACAACTTGTTTGGAAAATAGGTTGACCCCCCCCCTCTTCTTTGTGGCAGCCCCTCAAATACTGGAACATTGCTATCACCCCAATCCTCCTTTTCTCTAGACCAGCCAAACCCAATTCCTGCAACCCCTTTATATTTCCTACTTTAACCTTCTCTTGAACCAGATACACATAAAAACCCCTTGGTCGACTCTACTGTTCCCGTCAAGATCCCCCAGTGCCCGTTTATGAGCAGATCCAGCCCACTAATTTTATGAGGGACACCACGGCAGCTGAGCTCGAACACAACATAATTTGTGGCTGGAACAGTAGAGTTATCCAAATGCAGAACTAAACTCTTCTTCCTTGCCTGGGAGAAGAGAATTCCACACCAACTGAATTCGGGTACTAGATTCAGGATTGTTCTGATGAGGAGAATGGTGGAATTTTGATGGATCCCGGTATAAGTAAACTGATTCCTTGGAACATCTCTGGATAAGGAGGAGATTGCCCACACGTGCCCCGGACAGCTGCTCCTCATCAGGAGATAACAAGACAGAGATTTTCCATGGCTTTGGGCACAGGGAGATGATGGGATTAGCTATCTTGCTCACATCTGTGGCAGAGTCTTTTAAAGCAGTGATCCCCAACCTTTTTGATGCCGCGGCCCGGTACCGGCATCAGCTGGGCGCCGCGGCCCGCTACCAGCATCAACTGAGCGCCGCTATCTTTTTTTGACGAAAAAGTGCTTCCAGTGACCTCACCGGAAGCACTTTTTCGTCAAAAAAGATGGTGGCGCCAGCACTTCCGGTGAGCTTTTTCGGGTAGAAATGGCTTTCTACCCGGAAAAGCTCACCGGAAGCGCTGGCGCCGCCATCTTTTTTTGATGAAAACGTGCTTCCGGTGAGCTTTCTACCCGGAAAAGCTCACCGGAAGCACTTTTTTACCAAAAAAAAGATGGCGGAGCCCAGCAACCAGCGGCCCGGTAAGACTTGTTCCGCAGACCGGTACCGGTCCGCGGACCGGCGGTTGGGGACCCCTGTTTTAAAGGACACTGGGTTTGCACATGTGATTTTTGAATCATTTCTCATTAGCTACATCTAAGTTATTAGAAATCTTTGGAGTGACCAGTCTCCCTTCAAACCTGAGTGGAGGAACGTTTTGATCATAAACTTAACAATGTAAAGTATCCAAAATAAACAGCAAAGAGCTACATAAGATGACTAAGGGTCCAGATGAAATTGGAATATTGGTGTGCTCAGTACAGCAATTGTACAAACTCTGTTGTGTTTGAGCTCAGTTGCCGTGGTGTGCTCCATAAAATTAGTGGGCTGGATCTACTCATCCATGGGGCACTGGATGATCTTGATGGAAACTCTACAGTTGACCAAACTCAAAACTAAACTCTTCCGTCCTGCCTGGAAGAGAATTCCACCACCAGCTGAATTTGGGTACTAGAATCAGGATCGTTCTGATGAGGAGAATGAACCTGAATCTGAAAATGGGCAGCACCAAAGGTTGATCCCACTGGGGTGGGAGAGGAAGGGGCCCTATCTAGTGACCGGCCAGGCTGCAACTGGGAGTTGTGAAGTGGCCCAGGAGGAAGAAGTCCAGAACCCCACTACTCCTCTATGAGATTTCCCCTCGTGCTCCCCACAGATCAGGGCATCTTCCCTCTGCAGCCTCTGATGCCGCCTTGCGAGGTGAGACTGCCCACTGGACCCATAAGTTGAGGGTGGAGTGGGGAGGACCCGGGGTATGTGTGACGGTGGGGGA